ACATTGGGGTTATTAAAATGTTAAGCCAGATAAAAGTGAGTATTCTCTCTGAGTACAAAGAGCATTTTTCTACTCATCAAATCTATAAGGCATTCTTTGAGTTGCACGATTCCCGAACACTCCTGTTTTAATTTATGTGACCCTTTCTGCTTTTTAGTCAATCCCCCCAAAAATGGCTCTTTTCAATAATTAGTATCAATTTAACTTTAAACTTCTCATTTTGATCCTTGATAAGGTAATTTATAGCCACACAAATATCTATGGCTTGTTTTAGACAAATTTTAAAAATACTTTTTTCATTCTTAACAGAGGGAGTATATCCTTTGTGTTTCTTTCTGACAAAGTCATGTTTACTTTTAAGTAAAGTAGCTAGTTGGAATTTAATATAGTGAAACATGTCCTTTGAAATATTAACCATGTAGCTTGTACATACGTTGTATATGACAGCACTTGCTTCGGTTTTTTCAGGTTTAAAAAATCCACTCACACTAATGAGCTACGTTACTCCAGTAATGGCTCTTTCAACTGCTATGCTGTCTCTTATTTTTGATCCATGGCAAGAGTTTGGAAGCAGCAGTTACTTCGATAGCTCATGGCACATAACTAGAAGTTGTTTGCTGATGCTTTTTGGTGGAACCTTGGCTTTCTTTATGGTATGCATGTATCTAACTCAACGTCAATAAGTCCAAATTGTTGATTATCCAACATTCTAGTGGCAGATTTCTTTGCTGGCTCTTTTTCGTCTGCAGAAAGTGGTTGTCTACTAAATACTATAATATCTAAAGGCAATAAACAAATTAGATAAACCTTCCATGCACGTAGTACAAATAATTTTCTTTCTCTGCTTTTTTTTCCAGGTGTTGACGGAATATATTCTTGTCTCTGTTACCAGTGCAGTAACAGTGACAATAGCGGGAGTCGTAAAGGAGGCTGTCACTATCGTGGTATAAACTAAGAACCAAGTTATCTATATCTCTTTCTTAAGTAAAGTAATGTAACTGACTGATCAAAGAAAAAAGAGCATACAAGTAATGTAGCTGCATAACTGGTTTAGTTATTCAAATTTCATCAGTTCTCTGATAGCAGTTTACTCTATGGAATTTGTTAGTTGCTTCTTCTTAATGAACATTAAGATTGTTAATTAAAAAGCCTGGAAATTTCTTCCCCATGTCCCCATGAGTGATTATGTCGGATGTAACTGCAATTTTTCTGCTACAAATGCTTTTATTGCTCAGAGACTTCATTTTCCTAGATATCTTCACTTCAAGCCACTGTGTATCTTCAATCGAATTAGACTGATATATATTCAGTTTTCACTAGTTGAAAAGTTTCTCTGGTTTTTGGAATCTGTTGTTGCTTCAGTTTCTGAAACTAATTGGCCATTTTGTCGGTGGCATTTTCAGGTTGCTGTGTTTTACTTCCATGATAAGTTTACCTGGATGAAAGGGGTCGGTCTCATGACAATAATGCTTGGTGTGAGTTTGTTTAATTGGTACAAGTAAGTATTTGAGCTCTCATATTTTTGCAGGAAGTTATCGTGTGATTATTGTCTCCCAACTGCTGTTGAGATTAGATAAATATTCTCTTTAACAACCTACTGTTGATGTCATCCTTAATTTTCGGACGCCGCTTTGCATTTACTTTCAACTTATCTAGTATTTGTACAAGCTCTTCAATATTTCTTTCATAGCATGGCCAGGGTCTTACAGGAAACATGTCGGTGATGTATTTCACTTGAGCGACAGCATCTAGTCAAACTGTACTTGTTAATAACTGGTCTTGCAAATCGCTAATAGTATAGGGTTGTCATGAAAATTATAAAAAGATTTGAAGTGTTAGATGGTTTTTTCTAGGTATTAAAATTGTTTTCCGCTTCTTCTTCTCAGGTATGACAAATTACAGAAAGGTAATCCAAGTGAAGATGAAATTTCACGATCCTCAACGCAAAATGCAACTGCAAAGTATGTTATTCTTGAAGAATTGGAAGATCAAGATGATGGTCCTTGAAGTTCTAATATCACTTTATCTGCATTTGCGAACCTAGTAAGCTTCTTAATTATAAGGCTCTGATGCATTTTGTATGTTGCATACGACGGAGGAATTGCTTTTCATTGTCATAGCTTATTATGAACTTCAATATAATATTATTCTTTTTTTGGGAAAATGCATAAGTACCCCCAGCCTATGCCCAAAATCCCTGAGACACACCTAACATTTACTAAGGTCCTATTACCCCCGAACTTATTTTTTAATTAATTTTCTACCCCTTTTCAGCCTACGTGGCACTATTCTTGAAAAAATTGTCAACACGCACTGGGCCCACAAGAAAGTGCCACGTAGGCCGAAAAGGGGTAGAAAAATATATATAAAATAAGTTCGGGGGTAATAGGACCTCAGTAAAGGTTAGGTGTGTCTCTGGGATTTTGGGCATAGGCTGGGGGTACTTATGCATTTTCCCTTCTTTTTTTTGTTTATTATTCACCCCTACCATTAACTATCACTATCAGCCACCAATACCCCAATGTTAACCATTAGTCCATTACTACCGGCCACCAATACCCCAATGTTAACCATTAGTCCATTACTACCGGCCACCAATACCCCAATGTTAACCATTAGTCCATTACTACCGGCCACCAATACCCCAATGTTAACCATTAGTCCATTACTACCGGCCACTTATACCCCAATGTTAACCATTAGTCCATTACTACCGGCCACCAATACCCCAATGTTAACCATTAGTCCATTACTACCGACCACCATCACCTTTAGCTACTACCCACAAGTAACACCATCAACTAACGTCATCTCCCATCGGCACCCATAACCACCACCACTGTTGGCTATCACCACCACCACCACAAAACCGTCATATAATTTTTAAAAATATTTTGTTGATATAGTAATTAGATTAATTGGTATTTTTATTTTTATTTCTGTATCTACTAATTTTTGAATAAATACAAGTTCTATACATTCAGATGTTGAGAAAACAAATAGTCTTAATTATTTGGTATCCAGATCTTAATATTTAGATTGAGACATCTAATTCTTAATAAAAACAAATGAGGCCTCCATTTTGATCAGACTGATTGCTAATATTTACGTAATTTTTCATTGAAGTATATGTGTGATGTAGTTAGTGAACATTTTTTATTTTCCCTGAACTATATCTATCTTTGCTTGTCTCACATGACATACCACAATAGCTGGTGGAGAAAATTGGATACAAATCCTAATTGCTTTGTTTCTTTTTATGTACTTACTCAACTATCTTCAATGCTTGTTATATGGATAGACTATGGATAGATGCTTATGAGTCGATGTAAGATAACTTGTAGTCTGCATTATGTGTAGATTTGACCCACAGCTGTTTGATGTGATATGATTGCTAGATGATTGCTGGCAATGCTGATGTTTTCAAGAGAGGATGAGTTGCCATATTTGAATTAATACCAAATAGAACGAAAGAGGCAGCATCGATTGATTGGTTTTCGGCTTGACCCTGCACTGGACAGAGCCTTTGATCACTTTGCTGGTGAAAGAAAGAAGCTTTTCATTCATCATTATTGTTGGTAAAAAAGATTGATCAGTTTCCATACATAAACCCCCAAGGGGCCTATTTTTGTTGGACAAATTTTTGACATTGTTCTTGTATCTCTATATGAAATTTTCATCCACATTTATTCAAGTGTTTTTCGAGGTCTATCTCCTCCTCGTTGTAATATGATCTTAGTACGAGTCGATTATAGATCTTTAGTTTACTTGTAAAACAGGTTTGCCATTGTATTTTAGATGAGTTTTTGCTTTTATTCAAGTAAGTTTGTCAACTGATCTCTTGTATCCTGTCAATGTTTCTTTATCATGAAATTAATAATATTATGAGATATTGAAGAAAACATCGTTCATTTAAGGACACGACACATCACATCTTTCTATTGATATTGACTTGATGAAGCTCTCTACTCTCAATCGTAAAACATATATTATTATGTAACATACATCACAGATACATTTAGAAAGCTGGTTGGAGTTGCTCATTTTCATTTGGAGTTTGCACAGTCAATGACACCAATGATTCAAACACTATTGACATAACATGTTCAATCTACTTGCGTTTGAAGCAAGGAACTAATCGTCATGTTTAAAATACACGTTTTGTAGAACTTATGCTACTCTCATAAGTAAAATCAGATCGAACGATCTACTATGAAAATACAATAGAAAAGAGACTTTAAACACGTTTTGTAGGACTTGTGCTACTCTCATAAGTAAAATCAGATCGAACGATCTACTATGAAAATACAATAGAAGAGAGACTAAGTAGAACATAGAATTCATGGTCAATGGTTTGAGCGAATAAATGGGTCAAATACCATTTTTATTGTAGGATTCTTTGACTTGTTAATTGCTTGTCCAAGTTACAGAATGTTGTATAGTAGGACAAGTAAACGGTGAATATTTTAATATACCAAAAGCCAAAATTTCAACTAGGCTCATTTTTAAAAGAGAAGGTTTAAATGTGCTATCGAACTTTGAGAAAAGAGTTATCTATGCTATCGGTTAAAAGTTCTGCTCATTTGTGTAGAAAAGGCTCACCGTTAGCCATTGTTTGTTAACTGAAAACAAATACTGGCATGGATGAGCCTTTTCTCAAATGGAAATGACATAAATGAGCCAAACTTTCAACGGATGACATAAATGAGCCTTTTCTGAAAGTTCAATGACATATTTGAACTTTTTCCCTTTTTAAAATAATAGTCAAAGATCATCATGTAGCAATATATTCTTTTTTACATGCCATTTATAGCATTGACAAAGACAACTTGAATTCTATACAACAAACTACCAGCTGGCTTGAGTTTTACTAGTCAATTTCAATGTTATCTAATTTGTGAAAACTAGGTGCTTGCTGCTGTCTTGATCATACTATATATAGATTCTGCATTTTGCACTAGAAAGTGCAATTCATCAAAGGCACTTTGCCTTGTGTTAAACTTTAAATCATCTATATTCAGTGTTCTTAATGGCTTTATGCAAGATTTTTCCTTTTGCCTTCATCCTCCTTTGTTGTTCTTGTTATCTGATATCGGGCCAACGTTTCGATTACCCCACTGCAAATCTTTCTACAACTTGGATCAACAGTGTTTCTGCACCCCATTCAGTGGATTTCACTGATGGCTCAAGAGTAAGGGCTATACTACTCAGAGGAACTTTTGGTCCAAAATATGCTTGTGGTTTCTACTGTAATGGCAATTGTGATACTTACCTCTTTGCCATTTTCATTGTGCAAACTAATAGCGCGTCCCAAATTACTTCTCCCGCAATTGGATTCCCACAAGTTGTTTGGTCTGCTAACCGGAACAATCCGGTTAAGATCAATTCAACTTTGCAGCTTACAGCACAAGGAGACTTGGTGCTCAGAAATGCTGATGGTACTTTGGCTTGGTCAACTAACACTGCTGGCAAATCTGTTGCTGGTTTAAGCTTGACCGATGAAGGGAATCTTGTTCTGTTTGATTCGAAGAATGCAACTGTTTGGCAATCGTTTGATCACCCGACAGATGCTTTAGTTCCAGGGCAGAAGTTAGTATCCGGGATGAAACTAACAGCAAGTGTTTCAACAACGAATTGGACTGAAGGAGGCTTGTTTTCCCTCTCTGCTATCGATAATGGTTTGGTTGCTTTCATAGAATCAAATCCTCCCCAAACATACTTTGACGCGACTATTGGTGGATTGGATCCTAGTGGAGGATCCAATTACGTTAAGTATTTGAATGGAAGCTTAACTTTCTTCACAAATTCGAGTGGTACAACCGAGTTGGTTCTGGTTTCTATTACTCCAGCATCCTCTGCTCAGTATATGAAACTCGAGTCCAATGGACACTTGAAAGTGTACGAGTGGAAAAATCGATGGGGAGAGGTGGATGATCTCTTGACAGGCTTTCGTGGTGTGTGCAATTACCCCACAGTCTGTGGAAGATATGGCATTTGCACAATGGGGCAATGTAGTTGTCCCATAAGCTCTAATTCAACCACCTATTTCAGACCGATAAACGTTAGGCTGCCTAATCTTGGTTGCTCTGAGGCCAAAAAGCTAACTTGTAACAACTTAAAGAAACACAGACTTTTGGAAGTTGAAGATGTGGACTATTTCACGTTTACTGCAGATATTAGTAACACAGATGTGAATACTTGTAAACGCGCATGTTTGAATAAATGTTCCTGTAAAGCTGCATTCTTTCGTAGTGGTTTAAATTCTTCCAGGGCCATAGGGGAGTGCTACTTACCAACTGAGATCTTTTCACTAATGAATAATGAGAAGGACAAGACAAGGTATGACTCTGTCGCGTTTATAAAAGTACAGGTTTAAGCTAAACCAGCTGCTGCTAAAGGGAAAAAATCGCGTTTTATGTACAAAAATGAATCTATGGGAGGACATGGATGGAAACTTAGCAAATTATGCGCGAGATCTTGAATAAGTTCATGCTAGACATGAACTATATGAAGGTATTATTACATAAATAAATGGTTTGATAAGCCAAATTAGTGTTAAGAGTTCTCTGTATTCCTTCATTTCTCTTCTTCTCTGTATTACACTTTCATTTCTGTTTGTTATCTGTAATTTCAATTCAATAGACTATAATAAAGACAATCTATTTTTTCAATCGTTTGGTGAGTTAAGTGTTGGTATAATATATAAACAAACACTCAAACATGACCTCAATTGACAAGTAAACAAGTGCACATCTAGACACCCTAACTTGGTCTCAACTGGCAACCAAATACTCCAATTTGTTCCCACTATGTCTCGTGGATACCTAATACTTACATGTCACATAGATTTTGGAGGTGTCTAGATGATCTCATTTTGTACGTTGGAGTGTTCAACTGACACAATGGAGACGAGTTAGGGTCATGTCTAGATGTGCATACTCAAGGTTGAAGTATTTATTTATCAGCTGAGGTCAAGTTTACGTGCGTATGCATTATGCCTCAAGTGGTTGTTGCATTGTCACAGTTCATGCCTTGTCTTTAGCTAAGATCCAGTGAAGCTGGCTATGGTAGTAACTCATAAGTTCAAAGAAAATGAAACTAAGATGCAAAATCAAGAAAACTCATAAGTTGCATTTCAGCTTATTTATGTCATGTTGAGTGGCGGAGCCAGATTTTGCATTAAGGGTGTGTTTGGTATGAAGGAAAATGTTTTCCAATTTTCTCATGTTTGGTTGGGCTAAATGTTTTGGAAAATGTTTTCCAAATTAACTCATTTTCCTCAAATTTAAGGAAAATGACTTCCCTTCTAAACTTAAGGAAAACATTTTCCAAAACTCTCTTCCCCCCTCTCCGGTCACCCCCCACCCCCAAAATAAAATTGAGTTTGTTTTAAAAAAATATTTTCAATTTCAAAATTTCATTTTTTCACCCCTACCCTTGACCCCCACCCACCCACCCCCACCCAAAAAAAATTTTAAGTTTGTTTTTCAAAAATATTTTCAACTTCAAAATTTCAATTTTTCACCCCTACCCTCGACCCCCACCCACCCACCCCCTACCAGCCCCCCCCACCCCCACCCCAAAAAATATTTTAAGTTTGTTTTTCAAAAATATTTTCAACTTCAAAAATTCAATTTTTCACCCCTACCCTCGACCCCCCCCCCCTTTCACCCACCCCCTACCACCCCCACCCCCCAAAAAAAATTTAAGTTTGTTTTTAAAAACTATTTTCAATTTCAAAAATTATTTTCTACTCTAGTAAAAATAAAAGATATTTCTCAAAAATATTTTTCATTCATAAATCAAACACTAAAAATCTTTTCCGAAAAATATTTTCTACTCACCAACCAAACATGAGAAAATAAGTCAAAAATCAACTTGTTTTCCTGGAAAACATTTTCCTTCATACCAAACACACCCTAAGAGTTTAAAATATGAAGGATGAACCCCCTGGGCCCTATCTAGCTCCGCCACGGGTCATGTTCTGTAGCTTAGGTTTTTTTTCTTATAATGCATATATAGTGGGGATATAGTAGTTGAAGTTTCCACCAAGCAAACAGTTCTCTGTATTGGTGTCTCCTCCTCTTGACATCATGTTGACTTTCTTATAATCGTCGTCAGTGGCGGAGCTAGGATTTTAAACAAGGGGTTCAAAATCTGAAGAAGTAAACACATGAACTAACCGAAGGGTGTTCGACATCATTTACTTCGGTTAGTTCGACATCATCTACTATATACATTGACAGTCTAGTCTAGCGTCCCGAGGGCCGGGGCCTTCGATGGGATAGTGACAGATACAGAAAAGGAAAGTTGGAAGGGTATTACAAACACAACATAAATTAGATTATAGATGTTCAAGTTATAAATCTAGCCAAATTTAGGAAGGATTTTATGTATTATCACAAATTAATATTGTTATGTAAATAATGTGGTCAAATGTGTTATTGTACTCTTTTAACCTGTCATTTGTACATATATCACTTTCACACGTTTAACTATTAATTAATATATGTGAAAGTAAAATAAATTAAAAAGAAACTACTTTGTGTATTCCCTTTCATGGTTAATATGCAGGAACTTTTAAGTTTAAGTTTTTTTTTTTTTTTAATGTATTTTCTCTTTGGTAATACATTAAGGTGGTTATTTCATTAGATTACACCTAAGATGAACTAAACTTATTACGGACGATAAGAGTTACTTCAATGGTAAATATTTCCCCCACAAATTCCAACTTGAAGACTGTGACTTTGAATTATCAAAAAAGTAAAAAGAAACTCCTAGCTATAAACGGGTAAAAAAAGAACAAAAACAAAAATAATAAAAAAGTAAAGACTTCTTTTGAAAATTATAAGTCGAAATGTTGACTATTTGGAAAATTGAAATATTTCTTCAAAGATTAATACATTTCCTCTCACACTTCAAAATTGGTTTCACATTCTATAATTTTATCCAATAAACCTCTGTCGGGTCAAAAAGTAGGGAATGAAAAAGGAACTTTACCTACTCATTTTGTTCATTTCTAATTGATCAGTTTCAAAAATCAAGGAATAATTTATCATTTTATACTTTTTTAATCCTTATTATTAAGGAGTAGTACTATTTTCATTCATTTTCCAACCGCTAGATTAGAATAAATATATATTCTTGAAGAGCATGTCAAGTCAAACATGAACATACTAAGAATCCAAACAAAAGGATTCAAAATATACTCTCTATGTTTTAAAAAAAAGACCTAATTTAATTTGACATATAATTTATAAAAAAAAATTAAAAAATTCAATCTTGTGGTCCTAAATTAAAGTAATGTCAAAAGTATCAAAATATCTTTTAATTTTGTGGCTTTAAACATATTACATGAATAACTTAAATTAATGTGTTGTTAAATAAGGAAATGAGTCATTCTTTTGAAAATAACCTAGAAAAAAAAGAAAGCAGATCATTCTTTTTTGAAATGGAGAGTATATATTATGCCAAAGCGATTCAGTATTTAAATTTTATGTATATGCAAAGGCTAATTATTTTACATATTTCTATCGTATAATATTTTAGTGAAAGAAGTTCTAGTGGGTGGACGACTTGGTAAGGTCAACGCGTTCATTTAGTCCACCATTTCTCCAAGTTGTAAGAAGTAGCTACTTGGTGCTTTCTTGACCATAATTATATTTTGCATCAAGGATAATAAAATATGCATTAATGGGTCAATAATAAGCAAATAACAGCTTATTGCAGAGCTCTTAATTAGACTCTTTCAAACAACCCAACATCTTAAATTTAAGTTCAATCATTTTTCATCTCAATGATGAACTAAAGGCCCTTTGCCTTTTTTGGAAAACCAAAAAAAAATTGGTCTTTATGGCTTTAAGCCAGTTTTTACCTTTCTTCTTCTTCATTCTTTCTTGTTCTTTTCATTTGATAACTAGCCAACCTTATGATTATCCATCTGCAAATCTTTCTACAACTTGGATCAACAGCATTTCTGCAGACCATTCAGTGAATTTCACTGATGGCTCAACAATAAGAGCCATACTACTCAGAGGAACTTTTGGTCCAAAATATGCTTGTGGTTTCTACTGTAATGGAAATTGTGATACTTACCTCTTTGCCATATTCATTGTGCAAACCAACAGTGCTTCCCGAATTACTTCTCCCGCGATTGGGTTCCCACAAGTTGTTTGGTCTGCTAACAGGAATAAACCTGTTAGGATCAATTCTACTTTGGAACTTACAGCAGAAGGAGATTTGGTGCTTAGAGATGCTGATGGTACTTTAGCTTGGTCAACTAACACTACTGGGAAGTCTATTGCTGGCTTAAACTTGACCGATGAGGGGAATCTTGTTCTGTTTGATTCGAAGAATGCAACTGTTTGGCAATCGTTTGGTCACCCAACTGATGCTTTGGTTCCAGGGCAGAGGTTAGTACCAGGGATGAAGCTAACAGCAAGTGTTTCAACAACAAATTGGACTGAGAGAGGTTTGTTTTCTCTCTCTGCTACCGATGATGGTTTTGTTGCTTTTGTAGAGTCAAATCCTCCCCAAACATACTTTTTAGGGGCTATTGCTGGATTGAATGCAACCTCAGCTCAATATATGAGATTGGAGTCCGATGGACACTTGAAAGTGTATGAGTGGCAAAGTAGGTGGACTGAGGTGGGTGATCTCCTGACAGGTTATAAGGGCGAGTGTTATTACCCCATGGCCTGTGGAAGATATGGCATTTGCTCAAGGGGGCAGTGTAGTTGTCCCAAATCGAGTTCTAATTCAACGACCTATTTCAGACAGATAGATGACAGGCAAGGTAATCTGGGTTGCTCTGAGGTCACAAGGCTCACATGTAATGCTTTAAACAACCACATATTTTTGGATCTTCAAGATTTGGACTACTTCACATTTACGGAAGATATTAGAAACACTGATATGAATACCTGTAAAGATGCATGTTTGAGGAACTGTTCCTGTAAAGCTGCTTTGTTTCGCAGTGGTTTAAACTCATCCACAGGAGACTGCTACCTACCATCTGAGATCTTTTCACTAGCGAATAATGAGAAGGACAAGACAATGTATGATTCCCATGCATTTATAAAAGTACAGGTTGAACCTGAAATAGCTGCTGCTAAAGAGAAAAGGCGTGTTAATGGTGCTATACTGGGCTCTGTCATAGGAATTTCCATCTTAGGGATCATAATTGGAATTGCAGTTTTCATATTCTGGAAGAAGAAGAGAAAGGCCAATGAAGACGAGGAGGATTATCTAGATCACGTACCAGGAATGCCGACTAGATTTTCTTACGATGATCTAAAGGTTGCAACGGAGAACTTCACCAAGAAGCTTGGTCAAGGAGGATTTGGGTCAGTTTTTGAAGGGTGCTTAGCAGATGGCACAAAAATTGCAGTGAAATGCCTTGATGGAATAGGACAAGTCAAAACGTCATTCTTAGCTGAGGTTGAAACTATTGGCAGCATACATCATGTAAACTTGGTGCAATTGATTGGCTTCTGCGCTGAGAAATCTCATAGGCTTTTAGTATACGAATGCATGAGCAACGGATCACTAGAAAAATGGATCTACCATGGGAAACAGGAGCAAACTCTAGATTGGAACTGCAGGAGGAAGATTATTCAAGACATAGCCAAAGGATTAGCCTACCTTCACGAAGAATGCAGGCAAAAGATTCTGCATTTGGATATTAAGCCCCCAAACATACTCCTGGATGAGAAGTACAATGCTAAACTCGCTGACTTTGGGCTTTCAAAGCTAATTGATCGGAATCAGAGCCAAGTTATGACTCAGATGAGAGGCACTCCTGGTTATTTGGCTCCTGAATGGCTTAGTGGAGTTATAACAGAGAAGGTAGATGTCTACAGCTTTGGCATTGTGCTCTTGGAAATTTTGAGTGGAAGAAGACATTTTGAAGCATCGGAGTCTGAAGACCAACAGGTAATGGTGAACTTATTCAGGAGAAAGGCAGAGGAAGGGCAGTTGGTGGATCTTATTGATAAGCACAGTGAAGATATGCAGTTTTACAAAGAAGAAGTAGTAAAGGCGATGCAGATTGCTGCCTGGTGTTTACAAAGTGATTACACGAAGAGGCCATCAATGTCGATGGTGGTCAAGGCCATGGAGGGTGTTATAGATGTTGACAAGGATCTAGACTACAGCTTTAGACCACAAACTGTTTCCGCAATACCATATATCAGTTTTGCAGATTCAACTCCTTTATTGCCTTCGATCCTATCAGGCCCAAGGTGAGGAGGAAGTTCCTTTGAATTTTTGTTAATTTCTTGTGTTTAAGCTATTGCAGCTTGCTCGCTGCTGTGTAAATTTCTTCTCCAATGTTCACAAAGTTATGATTGTTTTCTTCAATTTATTCATGCAAAGTTTGTCCTTTGAGAACTAATCAACTAATCAAAATGTGAATTTGATGAACAAGGACGGTTTAATTTATACCATACAGAACATTCCAAACCTAATACTTCAAAGGGATTAAAAACAACATTTTTGAAATTGCATGTTGTCTACGGTAATACTTACATGCACACCCGGTGTTTACTCCAAACCAAGAAATTCAGTTACAATTTAAAGTGAGAATACATATTATAAGTCACAGTTAAGTGATAAATGTGCGTAAACACCAGCTCATGGACATCTAGGGAAACACAAATCACTGATCATGCACATGACCAGAGAAAGCTAAAAGCATCCTCTTTTGTCCCTTTTGATAGATATAAGCTAAAAACAACAACAACAAGGTATTCCCATAAGTGAGGTCTAAGGGAGGTACGCAGACCTTAACCCTGCCTTGAGAAGGTAGAGAGACTGTTTCTGATAGAAACTCGCTCAAAACAGTTTCCGAATATGGAAGGGTAGTAATATGTACCTCCATACTAGATTTATAGATCATCAATAAGCAAAAGAGTATCTAAGATTCTGAAAGTAGAGAAAATCATGTCTAACTACATGAAGCTTTCAGCCATGGCTATACAAAGTAAAGGAAGCGAAAGAACATCATGTACACGTAAACTAAAGTCGAAGGAGGATGATGTTTTAATTCCATATAAACAACTATGAATAGTCACATATTGCTTTATGTATAACAAGCTATCATAATCAGAGTTGATAAATATATACACTACTATTTACATATGAATTGTGGAATGACATTGCAACTCCAACAGAATTTACTCAGTAAATTGAGCTTACTGATTCAGTAGACAGATGTAAGTCTAACTGGAACAACCTTCTCTCTAGCTGTATCACTGAATCCACCAGCCACAATTCTCACCACTTTCTTGAATGCAAAATGCAAGCAATTCGACAACGCAGCCCAACACATCAACTCATAGACAAAATCAAAAGCCGGATCCGAAAACGAGTTCGACGAAGATTCTTCCCAATTTGCCCATCCAAATCCATCAAAATTCCATCCCCTACCACCACCACCACCGCCCCAGCTACCACCACCACCAAACGGCCCGTCATAATTACCTCCGTCAAATAAGAATCCGTTTTCATCACCTTCATCAGCTCCACCGATCAACGACTTCCGTATAATCCGCCTTGTCTTACGAGCCAGTCTTCGAGGTGCGGCTTTGACCTTGTTGTACTTTACAGGCGGCGGCGCTAAGACATCGATCGGACAAATCACGGCGGAAATTTGACGAACTCCGGCGGTGGAAGGTGATTGCTGCTCCGATGAGGAATCGGAGAGTGAGAAAATGTTGTTTGATAAGAAATTGAGATTGCGATTCAGAAGAAACTTTGAAAAACCTAAGCCTTGAGTGGTGACCACCATCGTTAGCGTATCGGAGATCATAGAAATTTCCATTGATGATCGATCTATAAGAAGGTGAATTTCGAAAAAAAATCAATCAATTTTTAGAATGGGAAGTTAGATATTTTTTTGGGAAGAAGACAATTTATATGCTGCTGCTTTGGAATTTTCAAGCGGCAGAAGAGAGAAACGTGTGATTCTCTGCAATGCTTATTCTTGCAAATTTAAAAGTTTTTTTTTTCTTTTTCTTCCCTTTTATTTTTGGATAATATATATATGATTTTAAAATATAATATTAAGATTATTTGGTCAACGAAGGAAATAAAAGTATCCAAAGAATAATATGATTTTAAAATATAATATTAAGATTATTTGAAAGAAAATAAAAGTATCAAAAAGATTAATATATGCACTTAAATAAAATTAAAGAGGAGAAGCTCTTGAAATTCAAGACAAGAATGTGTAAGAGAACCTTTATTTATAATATTAAGAAATCAAATTAGAAGACTACAAAAAATTATTTTGAGTTTGGACAAATAAATTCTAACTAGACATGAATTAAATAAAGATTTAGTTTCAAATAGATACAATAAAATAATTAATTTATGAAAATATAGCCATGATTTATTTACATAAAAAAAATTGCCAAAATCAGAGGAAATATACTAAATATACATTATAGCTTGTCAAAAGTCATAGAAAGAGTATACCTAGTACTATTCAATATAATTAATTTATACATGAGCTATACACTAACTATATGCTATGATTAACTTGAAAAACTGAATATAGCTTGCTTATATATGAGCTATACACCGATTATACATTATGATACACTCAAAAAGCTCAATATAGATTAAGTATACATGAAATATACACTGAGTATTCATGAAGTATACATTGAGTATACATGAAGTATACACTGTCTATTCAATCTTGATCAACTCCAAATCACCTCTTAACAGTCCTAAAATTTAGATATGAAACCCTCTCAATATTTCAACTCTTTTGATATATAATTTGCCCAAAACAATTCATGTTCATGATACATCGTTTCAAGTCTTTTGATATATAATTCACTAAAAACAATTCAATGTTCTTGGTACATCGAAGACGAAGAAGAAACTGGCGAAAATGACGACTACAATGAAAACGAAGGTGGAGAAGAGATTGACTATTTTCTTGTTAATCAAATTGACCAAATGGTCATTGGATGTAATTACACTAAATACCATATCCTAAATAATCTAGGATTCTTACTCTTGTATTGTTATATTATATCATTGTAGTAGCAACTAGCCACCAATGTTCTATTTGTTAGGCATTTTATAGTAGTTAGATGTGATTTGCATTTAGTAGATGAATATACTTTGTATTAAATTACAGTAGTGTCAATTTGTGCGCTAACCTAGATCCCATAAAGGGTGCTTATCGATTAAGACAGCAGGACAGTGGTCACAAAAGTTGAAATCCTCTAAGCAATGTGTAACAAATCATCTGCCGAATCAAATAGCCCCAAAATGGATGACACTTAAATGCACGACCTATATCCGGCCGTCAAGGCAAGTGCCAGTACCCAATGAGTAGGAGGGCGCGCACCGTGAGAGCTGCAAAACCTTGGGTGTGAGCCTGGGCGGAATGGCCATCGGTGTAGATCTTGGTAGTAGTAACAAATATTCAAATGAAAACTTTGAAGGCCGAAAAGGGGAAAGGTTTCATGTCAACGGCAGTAATGCATATTAACTTCATCATTTGAGCCAAAAACTTACATTGTTGTGTCCACACAATTGTTTCATCCCAAATTTTAATTTATTGTCCATGTTAAGTTAAACAGGATTTATATCTGTAAAAGCTAAACCTCCTTTTATGCCAAGAACAAATTCTTTTGATGTTTAAAAATAGATAAGATTACAAAAGATGATCGTTAATGTTTGAGGCCGGTAGGTTCAAGATAGTCCCTTAAGTATGCACTCAACAGTTTTCGTCCTTTTAAGTTATGGTTCTTTGTGTTTACACGGTGACTACACGAAGAAGCCATCAATGTCAATGGTGGTCAAGGCTACGGAGAGTGTTTTGGATGTTGAAAAGAATCTAGTTTACAGTCAATGGTGGTCATGATATCAATTTGTATAAGTAACACGAATCTTAAACATCAAATGTAGAAGTTACTGAACATTACTTTTGTATAATTTATATGTAATCTCATACATCATAAAAAGTTGTGCTAGAATTGGAAAATTTTCAATTATCTCACCAGCATTGAATTGGTTCAATCAAATTTAAAAGCTTAAGCTTATCGTTTACCTTGGTCCCGATAAAATTGAAGGAAATTTTGAACTGAAAGTGGCTTCCCTCTGTTTGTTGCCTGCCTCAACCTTTGCTACATTTTTGAAATTATAATCCAAGTTTGTTTCAACAGTCACCAAACCTTCCAGTACCTTAACCACCAATGACATGGAAGGCCTCTTGGCAAAATCGCCTTGTAGGCACCATGCAGCGATGCTCATCATCTCTGTGATTTCTTCTCGGTGGACCTGCATATCCTCGTTGTTGTTGTCAACCATATCCATGAGTTGGTCTTGTTCTGCTTTTCTCCTAAATACACTTAGCAAATGGACATCTTCTTCATCAGCTTGGGACCAATCCAAATTCTTTCGCCCACAGAGAATTTCCAAGAGTACAATTCCAAAAGCATACACATCAACTTTCTCAGTGATTACTGAGCTCAACCATTCAGGTGCTAAATACCCCGGTGTTCCTCTCATTCTAGTCACAACTTTGCTTACGTCTTTCTCAATTAGTTTCGACAATCCAAAATCAGATATCTTAGCATTGAAATATTGATCTAGAAGGATGTTTTGTGGTTTGATGTCCAAATGAATTATCTTATGGCTGCAATCCTCATGTAGATAAGCTAACCCTTTCGCAATATCTGATATAATCCTTTTCCTTGTGTGCCATTTAAGTCCATTCTCTTCATTTTCAGGAGAAATCCACCTATCCAAAGATCCATTTACCATGTACTCATAGATCAGAAAACTCTCGCTCTTTTCGCCACAAAATCCTATGAGTTTTACCAGATTGACATGATGAATACTACCGAGTATCTTTACTTCTGTTAAGAATGAATCCTTTACTTGACCTACACCATCCAGATGTTTCACAGCTATTTTGGTTCCATCACTGAGTGTTCCTTCATATACGGAGCCAAATCCTCCTTCCCCGAGCTTTCTGTTGAAATCTTCTGTAATTATTTTCAAGTCATTGTAAGAGAATCGAGTTAGAATTCCTGGTAAGAGTGGTTCTAGATCCATAAAATCACCAGCCTTCCTTGACTCATATCTCCTCCTTTTCACAATAATAAAACAAATAGTGATACTTAAAATTATCCCAAAGAAAGCTGCGAGAGTATATCCTGTTATCACTTTGAAAGGCTTGGATTTCTTTCCAGGTGAAATGTTTGGTGAATGATTGATCTGCTCATTTGACGAATTATGTACCTTAAGAAAGACGGTCATGTTGTTGTATACTCTTTCCTCTTTGTCTATGAGTGAAAAGACTTCATTCAGGAATAAGCAGTTTTTCATTTGAGTCCGAGCCCAAACAATAGCTTTGCAAGAACAATTACTCAGACAGGCCCTTTTGCAATCGTCTAACTTTTTTGCCTCAGACCATAAGCTCGAACTTAGTTGATAGACATTAAAGTCAACTGCAAAATATGTGGTGTACTTGAGCTCTACGAGTCTATGATACTGCGAAGAGTCACAAGAAATGGATGTTAACTCCGTACATCCAAGATGCGGTCTCCTATCGTTAAATGGCGTGAAGAAGTTTCCTTCAACTGGACAGCTACATTGCCCATCATTTGAACAAATGCTGTATCTTCCACACACCATTGGGTACCCACAGTTCCCAAAATCCGGCGTTAAAATGTCAGATACCTCTGTCCATTGAAAAAAGTTACCCTGTTGGTATACGCGTAAATGTCCATCAGCCCCAAGCTTGATGAACTGTGGTGCTGGTCTAGGAGGGTGTTTTAAAGCAGTAAAGGTTTGACCATCAAAACTGAAATAACGGTTATCCGAATAAGGTGAAGAGTAGTAAAACTGAGGTGGATCAGTGTCTATGTAAGTAGCCCAGCTTCCATTTCGAATAGTAAGAGTAAACAAACCTTCACTCCAATTGGATGCTGAAACACTTGCTATGAGTTTCTGTCCTGAAACCAAATTCTGCCCCGGGAGCAAACAATCCGTAGGATGATCAAAAGATTGCCAAATTGCGCTATTGGCTTTGTCAAAGAGCACGAGATTCCCCGTTTCTGTCAAGTTTAAGCCTGAAACAGATTTTCCAGTAGTATTACTGGACCAAACAAGAGTGCCATCAGAATCTGTCAGAACCAAGTTTCCATCTTGGCCTAGTTGCAACGTTGCATTGACGTTCACAGGACGGTTCCTGTTAGCAGACCATACTAATTGTGGTTCATATATATATAATCGATATTCTCACCGGTGGAGCTGTGTTGGAATATTACTAATAGGATACCAAGAACACACTCCGTGGCACTGTAATTGCAGTAGAAGCCACAAATGTGGTACCTAGGGCCAGTGGTTCCACTCAGAAGGATGGGTGTCGCTGCATAGAAGTTCGCAGTGGAATTAGCAATAAAAACCGGCCTGTTGATCCAGGATGTGGAAATTCCAGAAGTAGAATTCAAAAGACTGGCATTTAACTTCCACCAATGTTGAGAAAAAGCAAACCTGGATGAATAAATGTGGAGATAAATGATGAGAAAGATAGGAAAATAGAGTCTCGAGACAACAATCATCGCGCCCAATACTTAGTTCAATTGACAAAGATTGAGGGAGGATTTAAGTCTCGTATTTAAGTGGAAAAAGGTAGAGGGATGAGTCCGTTATCTCAAGTTTCTAAACCTAGGTGATCTCAATCGATTTCTCGATCATAAAGAAAAAAAAATCATAAACGAATTCCAAAAGTGACATTTCTATATATTTAGCTTCACAAATGAGTTGCCTTTTGAGTGGGTTTCCCTTTTCAATCACAAAAATTCTTCCTAATGCTATCATTTTGCACTAAAGAACAATTCCCAAATTTCAACTCAATAATTGTTCAACCCCACAATCAAAACTAGGGCCAATCTTCTTCTGTACATATTATTTTAATTGTATTTTGCTCCATGATTCAGTTTCTTTTAGCTTGGGTCTTTTTTTTCAATCCGTAAAAGGCTATGTTGCTCGGACTCTTTCAAAACGTTGCTGCATCCATGTTGAATTCTTCAAAAATGCATTATTTGAAGTATCCGACATGCACCCATCAATATTTTTGCAGAGTCCAAGCGTAACATTAGCTAAAAAGGCATGACATTTAATTTCCACCATGTGCTAGTGTCCTTTTCCAAACTTCTGTTGACTTTTAACACTGTTTTAGCAGCTGACTTTGACTATAATAAATGACTTCATATTTTATTTACTGAAGTTGGAAAACGAATCACGTTAATAAATTCAGTTTATAAAGTAAAGTGTGAATATGATTATTAATTTCAATTTTCCAGAGTGTTGACAAACCATTTAAGTTTTCATTAGTTTGTATCTGATTTTTCATATACTATGTTCATATGGGGAGCACAAGAAATAAATATATCAGTTGTTTAATGTTTTTTTTTTTCGTGTGTTGAATATATTTTTTATTTTTTATGATGGGGTGTGCCAAGCTTGGGCTGTAGTACAAAGCCTAGGCGACGCATGAAGTAGGGTGGCAAAATCAAGCTCAATTCGATCCAATCCATTTAGGTTTGAATTTGTTATTGACCAGCTCATTTGTTAGCTCAACGCCTCAACCTATCTCAACTCAACCCATTTCAAGCCTTTAAAAATTGGGTTGATATGTAACCCAAATTCATTTTTGAGAAATCTTGTCAAAATCTTATTAGTTTTTTTAAAAAAATTATTTTATGTGTTATATATAGTTATAATAAAGAAAAATAATAATTTTATTAGGTACTAAAAGCTTATAAAATAACAAATAAAACTATTAAAACTTAATAAAATTGGGCGAGTTGGGTTATGACTCGTTACCTAACCCATTTTGATCCAATCCATTTTGGCCCAAACAAATTTGGGTTGGGTCTTGACCCATTTTGACCCGCCCAAATGTAACCCAACCCGCCCAATTGCCACCCCTAGCCTGAAGGCCGTTAACCATACTAATGCATGTGTTGAATATCTTTGCATTACTAATACCTAAAGATCCATGGTCCATTTGGGTGGGTCATGACACAATCCAATTTTTAGCCCGTTTGAGCCCAAGCCAAATTTAGGCGGGTCATGACCCAACTTTATTTCTATTTCAACTCATTTTAATATGTCCAATTTCAACCCGACCTGCCCATTTGACACTCTTAGCTACATTTGATCTTAGCCAAAAGACCGAGAAAGATATTGTGTCGAGGATGTTGCATTCACGGAAATGGGAGAAAATAGAATTCCCTTCCGTTGAATGGTTTTTTTTTTTTGGGATGAAAACAAATTAATTTCCTCAATTTTGGCACTCACTCGCAAGGCAAGGAAGGGGTAAGAATGCATACACACCATCCTCTTCAGATTTTACTTGTGAAATTAAACTAGGTATGTCGTTGTTATTTTGACAATCGCCTCCTCGTTTAGGACAAGTAATTCATGATGGGCTCATTAGCAAAATTCCATGTGAATTATTGTTCGTTGTGTACAATAAGAAGAAAGAAAACTATAACTAAATTCTAACTATACCTAGTCAATAATTTGACTTCTTCAATTTGTTATTACTCCCTCAATTTAAAAAATAAATGGTGTTTTACATGATAAAAAAAGTTATTAATGATTTTCTTCAAATTTTACCCTTACAAATAAAGGGAGTTTCACATAACAAAAAAACGATTAAAAAGCTATGCCTTTTCAAGATACTTTCTCTATTCTTAATTACTTGTCTACTTTTAAATTGGCACTTATTAAAAAAATAATGATTGACATAGTGAGTTTACCATTTTACCCCTATTAATCATGAAGTAGATGAATTAAAAATTTAAGCTTTTCAAGAGTTCTACCTTTTCCGAAATTAATTAATTGAGAGTATAATAGGTAAATTTTTTTGTCATTTCTTGATTTGTCAAAATGAACAAATAAAAAGGGACAAGTAAAAAAGGAAACTTGGACAAATAATTAGGGATAGATGGAGTATTTATTACTCCCATTGCTTTTTATATGTCACATTTTTAGATTTCACTTGCATTAAGAAACTAAGTAAGTTTACAATTTTACCCTTATTTAATGTTTTTTTGAGGTCAGCTATTCAATAAATGATAAATAAATCCATGTTTCATTTTTAATTTATTTGTTGAGATTTCCTTTTCAAAATCAGATTTTATAGAGTAATGCAATGGTGAGAGTAATTAATCAATGTATAAAGTAATTACAATGAACATCAATTACTTATAATTTTCATAGGTTGATCAAATATCTATTTTCAAGACTAATTAACTATCAAGGGTATAATAGGAAAAATGTTATATTTTATGCATTAATTTTATGAAATGAAAAATATTATGAACCAATTATTTATAGGAAGGACGACATATTAAAAAGGGAGGAGAGAGTAGCACATTTTGCTTTTGTCTTCTAGGACTGAGTGGTTTTCTTCAGAAGTGTGCCCACACCACTTATTTTGAAGTAGAGGGACTATCTTCCAAACTTTTATTTTCTTCACTTTTTTCAGCAGCTGACTATTGACTAGAGATGGAAAATGGAGCGGGTGAGCAGCAGTGGCTCAATGAAATTGGTGGCCTATAGTCGACCCACTCTAAGAGTTTTAACAAAATAAAAGGCAGAAACACACACTCACAAACAAATTTGTCAGTACACAAAAGAGGGTTAGTGATTTAAAAGAACTTCTATACTATTTTTTTTCATTGAGCCGAGGGTTTATTAGAAACAACCTCTCTACCTCCAAAGTAGAGGTATGGTCTGCGTATATTCTATCCTCCCCAGGCCCCACTTGGTGGGATTCCATTGGCGATGTTGTTGTATACTGCTATTTACCTGTTACGAGGCGATGTGCATTATTAATATTTTTCCCTCACAAAAAAGAGGCAAACTTGGGTACTCTGATTAGGACATGATCATTGATCAAGTTGTTCAATAGAGAAAAATTTTAAAACTTGCTTTGTAGACCTTTCCCGATAGCATAACACAATAAAGCTTACTGCACACTACCATTTGAATTCAGTAGCTGTACCACCGCGTACTGCATACAATATTATACTTATTTTCGCACATGAATTGAGAAGCCTCTATATGATAGTAACATGAAGCTCAAAAATTTAATATAGAAGTTACTGAACATTACATTTCATGAATTATAAAAAGTTATGCTAGAATCGGAAATGTTGCAATATTTGATATTACGCAACCATATGTTGGTTCCTTCAATGACAAAATCTTAAGCATATTGTTTACCTTGGTCCCGATAAAATTGAAGGAAATTTTGAACTGCTAATGACTTCCCTCTCTTGGTTGCCTGCTCCAACCTCAGGTACATGTGTGAAATCATAATTCAAGTTGGTTTCAACAGTCACCAAACCTTCCAACGCCTTAACCACCAATGACATGGAAGGCCTCTTGGAAAAATCTCCCTGTAGACACCATGCAGCGAGGCTCATCATTTCTGTCACTGCTTCCCTGTGGAGCTGCATATCCTCATTTTTGTCAACCATATCAATGAGCTGCTCTTGTTCCGCTTTTCTCCTAAATACACTCAGCAAATGGACATCTTCTTCATCAGGTTGAGACCAATCCAAATTCTTTCGTCCACAGAGAATTTCCAGAAGGACAATTCCAAAAGCATAAACATCAACTTTCTCAGTGATTACCGAGCTCAACCATTCAGGAGCTAAATAACCCCGTGTTCCTCTCATTCTAGTCACAACTTTGCTTTTGTCTTTCTCAATTAGCTTCGACAACCCAAAATCAGATATCTTAGCATTGAGATATTGATCTAGAAGGATGTTTTGTGGTTTGATGTCCAAATGAATTATCTTATGGCTACAATCCTCATGTAGATATGCTAACCCTTTGGCGATATCTGATATTATCCTCTGCCTTGTGTTCCATGTAAGCCCATTTTCTTGATTTTCATGCGTAATCCACCTATCCAGCGATCCATTCACCATGTACTCATAGATTAGAAGCCTGTGGCTTTTTTCGGCACAAAATCCAATGAGTTTTACCAGATTGATATGGTGAATGCCACCGACTGCCTTTACTTCTGTTAAGAATGATTCCTTTACTTGACCTACACCATCCAGATTCTTCACAGCTATTTTGGTGCCATTTCTCAGTGTTCCTTCATAAACACAGCCAAATCCTCCTTCCCCGAGCTTTATACTGAAATCATCTGTAGTTATTTTCAGCTCATTGTAAGAGAATCGAGTTAGGATTCCCGGTAAGATTGGTGCTAGATCCAAAATATCCGCAGCCTTTCTGGACTCACGTGTCCTGTTTCTGAAAATAACAAAGCAAGTAGCTATGCTTAAAATTATCCCAAAGAAAGCTGCAAGAGTAGATCCTATTATCACTTTGAAAGGTCTTGATTTCTTTCCTCCAGGAATGATTAGAGACTGACTCTGCGGCTTGGAGGAATTCTGCACCTTAAGAAATACTGTATTGCCTCTTCCTTTGTCGCTGTCTTTGAGAGAGAAAACTTCATTCAGTAACAAACAGTTCCCTCTGCGAGTCCCATTCCAATCATATTCAAAAACAGCAGCTTTGCAAGAACAGTTACTCAGACAGGCCCTTTTGCAATCTTCCAACTTTGTCTGCCCAAGCCATAATCTGCTCGGATTTAGTTCCTGATCAATATTAAATGAAAAATATGTGGTATTCTTGAGCTCTACGAAACTATGATACTGCGAAGAGTTACAGTAAATGGAAGTTAACTGTGAACATCCAAGATCTGGTTTCCTCTCTGAAAATGGCCTGAAGAAGTTCTCCTGTAGCGGACAAGTACATTGCCCGTTATTTGTACAAATGCTATAACTTCCACATACCATTGGGTACCCACAGTTATCTACATATGGCGACAAAATGTCAGATACTTCATTCCAATCAACTACAGACCATTGGTATACCTTTAAATGTCCATCAGGCCCAATCTTCATGAATTGAACTGTCGAGTTAGTAGGATTGTGTGAAGCAGTAAAGGTTTGACCATCAAAACTGTAATAAGGACTATCTTCAAAATATGAAGTGTAGTAGTATTGAGGTGGAACTGTATCTGTGTAAGCAGCCCAGCTTCCATTGAGAACAGTAAGAGAAAACAAACCTTGACTCCGATTGGTTGCTGAAACGCTTGCTATGAGCTTCTGCCTGGAAACCAAATTCTGCCCTGGAAGCAAAGAGTCTGTAGGATGATCAAAAGACTGCCAAATTGTGCGATTTCTCTTATCAAAGAGAACAAGATTTCCCATTTCTGTCAAGTTTAAGCCAGAAACAGATTTCCCAATTGTATCAGTGGACCAAACAAGAGTGCCATCAAAATCCGTCAAGACCAAGTTGCCATCATGGCCTAGTTGCAAGGTTGCATTGAATTTCACTGGATGGTTCCTGTTAGCAGACCAAACTAACTGGACTTTATCTATAACACCGTCCTCGTTGTATTTGTTGGGGTACAAAAGGATACCAAGAAGGCATTCATTGGCATGGTACCTGCAGAAGAAGCCACAGAGGAATCGTGGGCCAGCATTTCCCCGCTGAAGTATGGGTGTCGCCTTACCAAATAAGTCGGCAGTGGAATTAGTAAAAAGAGAGGGCCTGTTGATCCAGAAAGAGGAAAGCCCGGCAGTAGAATTCGAAAGAGTGAGGTTGTAGTCCTGGAAAGGTTGTGATATAGCAAATCGAGACGAACAACAGAGGAGATAAATGAAGAGAAGGATGGGAAAATACAGTCTCTTTTCTGCTAACATTGTTTCCTAATCAAAACCAATAAAATATATGGAATTTTGTTGTGTATAGTTGAAGAAAGAAATGAGCATACAGAATATCCAAAGTGATATCTGTACTTGTAATTTTCTCCATAAATCAGTTTACATAAACCATAACAATCTTTGTTCAGTAGAAAGGCATCACATTTATTTCTTCCATTCTGTTGACTTCCAACTCTATTTTCAGCAGCCAACTTTGACTATAACATACAATGATTTCTCATATTACTTAGAGTTAATCATATTATAC